CCCTGCTTGTTTCGTTGTCGGGAAAAAAAACCTGACAAGGGTATCTGCCCCGTGCTTTTAATGGTGGGTGTTGTCCGACGGACAGTAAGATTTTGTTTGAATATTGTGACTTGATGAGATTGGGATTATTGCCAAAGTTATTCGAACGTGACCTCCAACCAAGCGAAAAAAAATCTCTTTCTAAGTCAAGATGTCAGCGCCCTGTAGAAACAACAGTAGGGGTCAATGATGTGACCAACCGGCCTCCGCATTCAAGTTGGGCAAGGCCCCAAAGGCATGCAGCCGCTTAAAATGGTAGATCCAAAACTATTAAACTTAAAATTGTGACGTGCGGCCGCATTGCGTGACCAAAAAGGGCGGCCACATTGTGTGTGCGGTCATGGTATAAAAGCGCGGGGATTCTGAGTCATCCAACTATCGAAATACAGACCAGAGTTCGATTCCGGTCGGGAATCGAACGAAAATCTAAAAAATATATATATATTTTTTAATTTATGCGTGTCATCCTTGTGCAGGGGCCATACTAATCTGTGCGACCGATTTCAACCACGTGATCTACGTGACTGCACGGGCGAAATCGACCACACCATATTGCTTCCGAATGGGCTGCTCCAAAAGGAGCTAGCCCATGTAGTGTGCTATCAAACTCGATCATGGTATCCGTTGGGCGGGAGTCTGGTACGTCAACCTATTGGGCTAGCTCATGTTTCACATCAAACAAGAGTCGTTTTTTAATTTAAAGAGCCCAATCCTCGGTAGGTGCCCAACTCGTGGATTAGCAGGCTATGCCTGCTTTTGCCACTCAAAAAGTTTATCGTCGATCCTCGGATTAAACGAGTATCCAACCTTATAAAACATATCACAAACCCTTTAACACGTCGATATGGTTTTGAGCCCCTAAAAGGGCAATGCTTGATGAGAGAAACGATCGTCAACATATATCAACGGTCTAAAAAAAAAAAAAAAAGGTATAGGTTAAAAAACGTCAAGTGGTGCGCAAGAAGGGAATAGAGACTTACAAGTCCCCGAGGAGGAAAGAGCAGACACCCGTTTCTATGACATCAGCGCATTTTTTTTTTTTTTCTGTTTTTTTTTAATCCCCCCTCTCTCTTGTTTAGAGGAAGGGACATACGCCGTTATTGAAGCAACAGGCGCCGCCTCACTGCCTCCACATAAGCAAAAAATAAAAATTATGAAGTGTATCTTTCAATGTTCCAGTAGAAGGTTCGAGGTTCGTCCTTCCCCTTTGGGAAGTAGTAGAGAGAAGTCAATGTCGTGGGATTACCTCTGAATTCGAATTTTAGGTTGTATTTCAACCGTTTATGAGTGTAGTACCAGGTAAGTTTTTTCCTTTTTTAATGTTTTTTTTTTTTTTTTCCTCTCGTTTTTTTTTCCCACACCATTTCCCCCCTCAAGTGTCGCTACGTGGCCATTGCCTTTCCATACGTGGTTGGGAGGGAAGGCAATGGGTGGGGGTTTAAAAACGAGTTGTCATTGTGACAACATTAAAAAAAATGATAAAAAATTTAAAAAAAAACGAAGGAACAGTGCCTCATGGGTACGTACAACCTTTTTAGGTTGTGTGAGAGCACAATTGACTCTCACTTCAGTTAGCACGAGTATTCTCAGCCATGGGATCTTAGATTCGTGACTCATATCGTGCGTTGTCGCATTTTTTTCAATTAGGTCACTTTTGATGACAAAAAAAACAACAACTTGTCACACAAAATTTTGTTTAATTTTTTCATAAACAAATTAATTAATGCAAATCCTTTCCTGTTGTGTACGCCCAGCTTCGAGCAAGACCCTTCAATTGCGGTCTATGTCGGTTCCCGGTCTTAGGAATCTTTTATTATGATTTAAAACAATAATGATCATAGCATTAATAAAATTAAAATTGAATATGTCATGCACATATCAAGTTTGTCGATTTAGGAGTTTGAGAATTGTGACAAGATCAATAAATAACGCAACATCAAGCAATGTAAAAAACAACGAATCATGACTGACTGACTCAAGGCAAAAGCAAGATGGACGAGGGAAGGTGATAACTCATAATAATCTAAAAAGGTACACATGAAAAAACATGGCAACACTGATCAAGAGTCCTCACTCTGCCTCTCAGGTATCATTCTCAATCTCTCATTTAACCGTGCGTATCTTGTGCCTTGAGCCACATCTATGTACCCCCTGAGATTGTGGCTTAGATATGTAAAGCCACCTAAAGTCAGTAAGCCCCGAGTAGGTCAATCCCAGAACAGAGATTCGAAAATCAAACATAACATAAAACTTATCTCGTAAAGGAGGAAGATATGGCCTGAAGAAGATCCCTCGTTTGAGATGTCGGAACTCTAATGGCTCTGTCACTGCCTCATAATGAATCTTTGCATGTGAGACATACCTTTTGACCAAGTCAACAGGATCACCCCAATAAGAATCATCGGTGAAGTAAGAAGGGACTGGAGGCCTAAGGTAGTCGGAGTACTGCTTAGGACCAAAGGTATGAATCAACTCGGTACTTTCCCGAAACACTCGTGCTCTGTCTTCAACGTACCGGGCATTTGTAACCCAAACTGAGTAAAAATGTTCACGAGTCTCTTTCCTCTTCTTCACATAGATCCTCAAATTTTGGATTGTTCTCTCTGCAAATTCATTGAGTACCAAGAAGATTGACATCTCTACCTCTTATTCTTACTGTGTTTTGGTTCGTTTTCCAATTGTCCCCGATAATCCTCGCGGTAGTTGGTTAGTTGATTGAATTACATCACCCTCATCACAGTCTACTCTAGTCGGTGCTACTAGGTTTCTCCGTTTTTTCCTCCCCCTAGAGAGAGAGAGAGAGAGAGAGAGAGAGAGAGAGAGAGAGAGAGAGAGAGAGAGAGAGAGAGAGAGAGAGAGAGAGAGAGAGATGCCATGCATGCAACGAGCAAAATGAACACATGTGACTCACTCAATCCGACGCTGAACGTGTGGGGCGTTGAATACGTCCACGTTCAGGCACATCTGTTTGCACTTGCAAATGTAATGCAGGTGTGTTGTTTCAACCTGCGCCCAAGGTTGTGCCCTTTCCGATTCAGACTTTTCCATTTTTCCACCCTGCCGCTGCTTTGCCACCGCTTTGACCAAAACCCAGCGCGTGGTCCCACGGGCAGCTACCGTTTCTGCATTTTTCAAAGAAACTGCCACCCCCCCCCAAAGTGTCGTGCTTGCACCTGCCTGCAAATTTCAAACCTTCCAATGAGCAAACGAGCCCGAATCAACGACCGGTATAACGAAGGACGACGAAAATGTCTCAGGGGGGAAACGCACCCCTGACTGGATGCGAACTGTACTAGTAGGATTCTAAAGAAAACCGCGGCTACCTACAGTCTTCCCCCGAACAAAACGCACACCGTTAATTATGAATAGAACGCACGGGGTGCGTTCTATTCAGATATAACGCACGTGCGTTATGCTACGGATACAGGGTACCAACTTTTGAAAAATGGGACCCCAAAATAATTAGTACCCTGAATCTGTACCTATCCTTTGGGATTAGCATGGCTTATGAGCAAGGATGACATGCATAAATCGAGAAATAGTCCATATGTGAAAAGAAAAAAGAAAATAAAAAATGAAAAAACACAACAGCCCGTCAAGAAACTAGGCGGGAGCAATAGGGAGGGAGTGAGCAGGCGGGAGCTAGCAGGCGGGAGCCATAGGG